GCGACATTTTTTTACTCTGGACTCTATTCTCTATTTCTATAAATCTCAAATCCGGCCTTGTATGAAATACTGTTGCCATATCTGAGGCGGATCTTCTAATAATGCCCTTTCTCATTAAGACAAGGTGTATAAACGCATTGTAAACATAGTTTGACTTGCTTTTGCAGCAGACCTTCAATCTCTGTCACATCGTCGTAATGTTGCTTCTCATTCTCTTTTCTACAAATACTATAATGGACATTGCTCTAGAGAGCTAGCGTCTCTTGTGCCGTTTACTAAAATTCATTATCGTGTTACTCGTCATTCAATTAAGTCTCATCCTTTTTCTGTTACTTTTCCTAAGTGCTCTAAAAACTCTTATTTGTCTAGTTTTTTTCCTTAACATCAGCCCTTTAAAAAATCTTCATCTTGCTTTTCTGACTCATAATTTGCAATCTTTTAAGTCTTCTGTCAATCGTTTTATTGCTCTACAATCTTTATCATTTTTCTTCAAGTATCTTTCAACACTAATTAGTGGTTGCTTGCAGCCTTGTTGGAAGCAAAGATGTCAAAATATATATATATATATATATATATATATATATATATATATATATATATATATATATATATATATATAAATATATATATATATATATATATATATATATATATATATATATATATATATATATATATACATATATATATATATATATATATATATATATATATATATATATATATATATATATATATATATATATATATAAATAAAAACATAACATAACTTTATCCTTTTCGCTGATGATACTACTATTTTTTACTCCGACTCTAATATTAAAACAATTTTTACCATAGTAAATCGTGAGCTGACAAACCAGGAGGATTGGTTCAAAGCAAACAAATTTTCTTTAACTTTTAATAATTTTAATAATTTTATGTTTTATTTCATAAGCCATCTAAGTCAGATAGTTTGCCTCTTCAACTTTCTCAGTTAGTAATAAACATAATTATTGTTAAAAGAGTCGTGTCAATAAAAATGCTGGGAGTAATATTTGATGAACATCTTAATTGGAAAAGTCATATTACGCTTGTTGAAAACAAAATTTCTAAAGCAATAGGTACTATATATAAAACAAAACACCTACTAAGTAAAAATTTCTTAAAAGATATATACCACCCTTTTATTCATAATTACATTAGCTACTGTAACATTGCTTGGGCCAGTACTTGTTCATCAGCATTAAAGAAATTATATATAAAACAAACAGAAGCCAGTAGAGTTATATGTAATATGCATAAATGTGCCCACGCCAAACCGTTACTCCGTGAAATCAAAGCTTTAAACGTTTATGAGTTAAATTTGTACCAAAACCTATTATTTATGTTTAAATACCAAAACTACATGGTTCCTAAATTCTTTAACAATCATTTTTCAATTATTTCTCATAAATACTTAACGAGGTGCTCTATTTACAGTTTTAACATTCTAAAGTCAACATTAAAAAAACAGATTACTCAATTTCATATAGAGGACCTCGTTTATGGAACAGAATTTTTGACGACAAAATGAAAAGTATAACCTAAATACAATCTTTTAAAAATGTAATTAAACAGAATTTGCTCGACTTAACAGATACCAATATACTTTTATATTTTTAGTTTTAAAATTTAATTTTTTTTTTACGTTACTTATTTGCTTTTCTTGCTGTTTTTTTTTTTTGTTTTTTTTTTTTTGCTTTTTACTTTACTTTTGAAGTATTTTTATCTTATTACAATAAATTCTATATTTATTTGCTTTATATAATGAGTATTTGTATATAATGATATAATGACACAAACAGAATGTAAATAATTATCACATATTTTATTTCTATATTTTACTTTAGAAGTCTTATTAAAGTATAGCTATTTTTAACTTGCTATATAAAATGATTTAATTATTTTTTTGTTGAAAAAACTTGTAAAGCTAATCTTTTAAATTTCTTTACTTTATTTATTTAATTTAGCAAATTTTATTTTATTATTGTTGTTTTATCATGCTTTATATAGTGAATATAAATTATTATATCTTATATATTATGGATACTTTGTAAAAAATATACCACGCAAACTGTAGGAGCTTGACGACAAGACTTATGTCTTCTACTTGCTCCTGTCATTCTTTATATTTTGATTTATTTTATTTAACTTGGAAACGAGAACATTGTAAAATGCTTATATATGACGAAATAAATAAATAAATAAAACCGTGACATTATTTAAATAAGTAACATTAGAAATATGGTAATGCAATACATAATTGTAATACTTACCATTTGAAGTTAAAGCCTCATTGTTAGTTGATATTGGAGTTACAATGTCTGTTGTTGTTGTAGATCTTTTTGCTTTTGCCTCAGCTATTTAATATTGCATATATTTAAATGTACATATTTTAACTACATATATATATATATATATATATATATATATATATATATATATATATATATACATATATATATATATATATATATATATATATATACATATATATATATATATATATATATATATATATATATATATATATATATATATATATATATATATATATATATATATATATATATATATATATATATATATATATATATATATATATATATATATATATATATATATATATATATACTAATTTTAAACTTCTTCCTTCAAAATTTAATCCAGATGACTAGGCAGTCGTTTTTAGATTCTATTTCGTCGTCTGACGGCCGTCCGCTGGTCGTCTCAAAGACGCCGTAAAATGTCCGACAGACGGTTCAGGGACAATGCATGATCACTAGGATATGACTTTACTATATCTAGTAATCTCATTTTTTGCTATATTTAGGTTACTATCTTTTTATTGATGATGGAAACTTATTTTATAGATGAATAATGTTATTGCTATATTAATATTCAGATAAAATATGTTAAATGTTATTTTATTTACATTATATTAATATATAATATTAGCTGTTTTTAATCGAAAATATATATTCTATCAACAATACTTCAATGGGTTGTTTTTTTCTTTATACTATTTACTTATGTCATCGTAAGTTTTTGCATTTAATTGTATTAATTGAATCTAAATATAATTCTTCCAGTGAATATTATTAGTGCGCATAGTTACGCGTATTGTTTTATAGTTACGGTACTGTTTATACTACGATTCTGTATCTGTAAAATACACTTTTTAAGTAGTTTCTAGACTTTTCTTTACCGCGTGCTTTCTTAAAGATTTCCTTTCAACCTTTCATGGTAGGAGTTCAAAATGTCCAAGTTGACATTAAGTAGATAATGTTTAGTAGCTTAAAATTATAGGTAATCTAAAATATTTGTAAATTTTATAAATAACTAATTTATTGTAATCTTTTTTAAATTGTACTTTTAAATTTAAAGCTTCGTGTTATAGATTACTTTAATTCTTAGATTGTGTCTAGCGTTAAAATATATTTATGGTTAGTTTCATGCTTTCACATAGTTTTGGTTATATTGGAATAAAAGCCATGACATCATTTTGTTATAAATTTATCTCAATTTAATTTTTATTGAAAATTTTGTTATAAATAAAGTTTATCTTTAGTATTGTTAATACTTTTGCTCTTTGAAAAAAAATATGTCCTTGCATATATGAATTTTGGTTTAGGATTTAATTGTGTTATTTTATGTTTGTATTTCTGTATTTCATATAGCATTTATCATTTGCATACACTTTTATTTAAGTTTAATTATTTATAATTTATTTAGGTTTTTAGAAATATTGGAGGGAGTAAGTTTAAAAGCATTTTTTAATTTTTAAAAAGAAATAAAAATACTTTTCAATATATATCTGTTTTATTTGAGGTAGAGTTAAAGTTTCAGTTTTTCAAAATTTAAATTTAAAGTTTCAAGTTTTCAAAATCGTATTCTTTTTGACATTGAGTATATATAAAATCTTTTTAAAATTTTATAAGTAATTAATTTATTGTAGTCTTTTTTAAATTGTACTTTTAAATTTAAAGCTTCGTGTTATAAATATTAATATTAAATATATAGTACACTATAATTGTAAAACGGTGTCTAGCGTTAAAAGATGTTTATGGGTAGTTTAATGCTTTCACATGCTTTTAATAATTGGGATAAAAGCAATGACAACATTTTGTTATAATTAAATTCTATAGTATTGTTAATACCTTTGTTTTTTAATAACATTTTCTGGATTTTTTATGTATAATAATTTCTCTTGAATAAATGAACTTTCGTTCAGGATTTAGTTGTGTTATTGTGTTTGTTTTTCTATATTAAATATAGCATTAATCATTTTCATACATTTTTAATTGACTTTATTTGTTTACAATTTATTAAAATTTAGATTATTGAAAAATTAACGTTTACAGAGTTGTTATTATTCATAATCGAGTTGTTGAACCAAGGAAATTGTAGAAGTTTATTTGTAAAATATACTATATATTATAAAGAAAATTTTTATTCTTATATATTTTCACTAATAAATAGTTTAATATATATATATAAATATAAATATATATATATATATATATATATATATAAATAAATATGTATATATATATATATATAAATATATATATATATATATAAATATATATATATATATATATATATATATAAATATATATATATATATAAATATATATATATATATATATATATATATATATATATATATATATATATATATATATATATATATATAAATATATACATATAAATATATATATATATATACATATATATATATATATATATATATATATATATATATATATATATATATATATATATATATATATATATATATATATATATATATATATATATAGTATATATACATACCCGCATTAAAAACCTGTTTATATGTACGTAACGCGTTGATAAGTTTAATTATTTGTTTTGTTCAATGTTGTCTCCCAACACATTAACTATGACGCTGACCGCTACTCCAGAGTATATATATATATATATATATATATATATATATATATATATATATATATATATATATATATATTATATATATATATATATATATATTAAAAACACTTTACTGTTCCTAATTAAAAAGGATATTTGTTTGTTTCTAAATTTATTTTATTAGAAACAAAATAACGTCTATGCTAATAGGGTGGCCGGTTTTTCTTAACTTTTATTAAATTAAATTATGAAACCTGTATTACTTTTGATGATAGCAAATTAATCTTATTTTGCATTTATTTGTTTTTTTTATATATAATTGTTTTAAGAATATATTTTTTTATTTTTTTAGTAAGATTTTTTTCGTTATTCATTAGGTTTTTTTATTTTATTGTTAACATTAGAGTAGTAAAAAAAAGAAATAATTAGTGTTGCTTTGATAAATATGTTTAATGAAAATGATGACATTGATATGGATGATAGGCTAGATGAAGTTATGTATTTACAAGATTATGTAAGTGCTATAAGTTGTGTAGAAAATAATTGTCGACGAAATGAAAGATATATACTAAGGCAAGATGAAATTAATCATTTACAAAATGAAAGAAATAGGCTTATTTGAGACTCGTCGCCAAAATTAAAGAAATAAGCCAAAATGTGAGAAGATCTGTTAGACAAGGACGAATGTATTCTATAGCAAGAAGTAATGCTGTTCCAGATTGTATTTATTTAGGATAAATGAATCAAATTTGTCAGCACTGTGCTGCCAAAAAAATTTCCAGATGAAACACATTTTCTATGTTGCCATAATGGTAAGGTAGCTTTGCCTCTACTTTCACCATTTTGGTTATCAATATTAAAAGCAACAATGTAGATAACGGTTGGGTGGTACCTTACAATCCTTGGTTATCTAAGAAATATCAAGCCCACATTAATGGTGAAGCTTGCATGTCTGTAAAGGCTGTTAAATATGTTTGTACAAATACATATACAAAGGACATGATTGTGCTGATGTTTTGATAAATGAACGAGTTAATCACGATGAAGTAAACACTTTTTTAGATTGTCGTTATGTTAGTGCACCTGAGGCACTGTGGAGAATATTTAAGTATTTCATAAGTCATATGTCACACACTTTTATCCGTGTTAAGGTCCATCTTACTGAGAATCAGATTGTGTATTTTAGAGAAGGAGAAGATCAAGTGGCTTTAGATTGTGCTGCTCAACGCGATACACACCTTACGGCATGGTTTAAATTGAATTCTGAAAATGAAGGAGCGCATCGCTATTCATATGTAGACATTCCATTTCTCTTTGTATTTGATGATAAACATTGGAAATGGAAGGTTAGACAAAGAGGTGGAAATAAGGTGATAGTAAGAATGTGTAAAGTTAGTCCAACAGGGGAATTATTTTTTCTTAGAATTTAGGATTTACGTACTGTTAATGGAATAGTTCTTGAAACCTTTTGTGAAACATGTGTTTTAAAAGGTTTGTTGCAAGATGACACTGAATGGCAGAATTCTGAGGCAGTTTTAAACCGAATGCCTAAGCAAATTAGCTGTTTTCAATTATTTTAACCTTTTGTGAACCTGACGACCCTTTGCAACTTTGGAATATATACAAAACTTTAATGTAGGAGGATTTCATTCATCGCCAAATCCCATTTATATTAGCTGAACAAACAACTCTTCGTCAAATCAAAAAGATTGTTAATCAAAGTGGTAAAACGCTATCTGATTATAATTTGCCTGTTGTTGATAAATTCATAGATATTAATCTAGAAAATTTAAATAATAATGTTCAGCAATCAATTGACGAAGCTAATAGAATGAGACCGCTTCTCAATGTCAATGAATTGAATGTAAGTAATGCTGTCCTTGCTGCATTGAACGAGCAACCAAGTGTAGAAAATCAACATTCCTGATTGTTTTTAATGGATGGACCAGCCGGGAGTGGTAAAACTTTTACATGTAATATTTTGATTGCTGAAACGAGCAGTAGGGGTGTTAAATCAGCAACTCTTCTTATAAATGGATCTATGCTGCACGGCTTATTTAAACTTTCTGTCGCAATGCTGGATAAAAGCACATGTAATGTGACTCCTAACTCTATTCAGGGACAATTTTTAAGGCAAGTTAGTTTGTTTATGCGTGACGAGACATCCATAATTCCCAAACACGCTTTAAATGCAATCGATCAGTTGTTAAAAGATGTTTGCAACAACATCTCTACGTTTGGTGAAAAAGTCATTCCTTTTGGTGGTGACTTTAGACAAATATTGCCAGTTGTGAAAAGAAGACGACCAGCTGAAGTTGTAGAATTATGTATAAAATGTTCTTTACAGTGGCAATGGATTCAGAAGTTTACATTAACTGAAAATATGAGAGTACGTGAATGAGAAGGAGAATTTTCCGAATGGCTGTTAAAACTTGGTAGTAGAACAATATCTATCAAGGAGGAAGATCCTTATAAAGGATGTATTAAAACACCGCAACAGTGCATTATTGGAGAAAACAAATTAATTGTTGACAAAATATTTGGAGATGCTCAACATGATGATTATGCTAAACGTGTCAACTTAACACCCACTTATATGGATTTATTATCAGTTAATGAAGAAGTGCTTCAACGTCTACATGGACAAGTCAAAACTGATTAAATAGAAAAAAGTGCTGATTAAATAGAAACTGATGACCTTAATGAAATAAATAATTTCCCGGTTGAGTTTTTGAACAGCTTAACTCCGTCAGGTATTGTTTAAAATTGAAAATTGGTTGTGTAATTATGCTACTTAGAAATTTAGATCTTGAAGCTGGGCTATATAATGGCACTCGAATGAAAATTTGTGCTCTTCAAAACAATTATATTGATGCAGAGGTTTTGACAGGTGTTTCTGAAGGTAATTGGGTATTTGTTCCTCGAATTCAGTTGGCTCCGTCGGATTCTAATTTACCTTTTGTTTTAAAACGTCGTCAGTTTCCAGTCCGATTGGCATATTCTATGACAATTAATAAAAGTCAAGGTCAAACGTTTGATAGAGTTGGTGTTTATTTAAAAAAATCATGTTTTTCTCATGGTCAATTATATGTAGCGTGTTCAAGAACAAGGGCGTTTAATTGTTTATTTTTTAAATTTGATAAACATCCTATTCAAGGTATGGTAGGTGAAAAATGTTACACAGATAATGTTATATTTTCAAATGTTCTTAATTTATAGTCTTTAGATATTCATTTCAAAAAAGGTTGAGAGCACATTTTGTATGTATAACTTTATTTATTATTTTAATTTTTTTTCATACTTTTTGATAAATATCTTTATCATTTAAAATTGTTATAAAATGTGTTTATATGCGTTATATAAAGTCATATTTGTTCATTGTTGTATATATGTTTAAGTTATGTTTTTTCCATGTTTTCAAAGTGGTGTGTCTTGGCAAGTGTGTTGAGCAAGTTTGATACCCTAGCCAGCCAAGCGGTGTACTTATAGCAGAGGTGTGACTTGGCAGCATTTAGTGCCAGGCTGTGTTATTGCTTTAGAGCTAAGTTGTGTTGTCTAGCCTTTTTTAATTATTCTTGAAACACATAATGTCGTTAGTGTTTAGCGTAATGTGTACGAGAGAGTATGCATCTTAATCTTTTAATCTAGGGTGCTTTAATGTCCTTAATTTGAAATAATTGAATAACTAACATTGAACATAAAAACAAATATACTTTATTAAAGTTTAGTAAAAAGGTAAATATAGTTAAATCTAAATTGGTTGTTTTAATTTTGCTATTCATATTTTTAAGTTGGTTTATTATTTTCACTGGATTTTAGGATCAAAGGTGCAAATATGCTTTGTGCTATTGTTATGTGTAGTTTTTGTAATGTTGTTGTGATGTTTTGTGTTGATAGACAGCTTGGCTTACCTTCCCGTTGGTGTCGATTGTTAAAAATGAATAATAGATAGTTTCATTATTGGAACTTGCTGCTTTTTTTCATCAAAATCTTGCTAAAAATTCAATTTATGTCTTTATTTGAATTTTTTTTCTTTAGCATTGTTACTTCGATAAAAAAGATTTTATAGCTTTCTTTTCTATAAATGTTTATATTAAATGCAAATATTTTTATATTCAAAAGGTTACAAAAACAGGTAAATTGATTTTCAGTGTTTATATGTGGTGTATATATATATATATGTATATATATATATATATATATATATATATATATATATATATATATATATATATATATATATATATATATATATATATATATATATATATATATATATATATATATATATATATATATATATATATATATATATATATATATATATATATATTTATAACATACATATATATATAAAAATATGCGGTTTGATAATTTAATAATTTTGGAAGATTTTTTTTAAGTTATATAATTTAGCAATGATTGGTCGCATACATTGGATCAACTATGGATTTTTATTGTAAAAACAACACATTTTTTTGATGTTTTTACACACATTTGAAAAACGTTGATTTATATATATTGAATCAACGTCGAAATATATACATTAAATCAACATTGGATTTAGATCAACATTGGATTTAGATCAACATTGGATTTAGATCAACATTGGATTAGATTATTAAATAGGTTGAACCAATAAACATTTGCTAGATGTTTTTAGTTCCGTCGGTAATATTTTTAGCATTAACTAAATGATATTAGATTTTATATACATTGGCCCAACTTAAGTGTGCTAGCTGGGTAGCTCTGGGGCCAGGTATCAACACGGATCAAGCTTGCATGGACCATTTTTCTCAGGAGACCATATTTAGATATATATAGCATATTGCTCATCATTTCATAAGCTAGCTTAAAAGTATCCAAACCACGTAATGGTGCTTTGACCGCCAGAGGAGACTTTAAAAAGTACGTTCCATAAATTGTGACAATAAAGGCAGTTGACATTTCGAGCATATCATTCTCGCTTTTATTTAACTTTATATTAATCATTGAAGTCAGCTGCATTGCAACCAAGTATAAAAAATCAGCCATAAACTTTGCTTGATGCATGAACATCGTGTTAAGTACAGTTCTACCCTGTTTTCGAACTGACTAAAAATATCCAACCTTAAGAATGTTGATATATTCATATGCGTTTTTTATTCCATTAACTTTCACTAACTCACTGACTCTACGAGCATGGAAACATACTCAAAACAAGAGTTTTAATGTACCTTATTTATTGGTTAGTGTGAAATCTTAAGCATGATGGTGAATTAGGCTTTCTGCAATTATATTTTACACATCTGATCCAAATATGTTAATTTACTTAAATATGGCTTTGCATTCCAAAGTTTTAAAGGAATTTTTTCTGAATGCAACGTCAGTAAAGCAATAAAATTTGATTTTTATTAACTTTTCAAACGTTAGTGAAATCTATTGGGGTGAAATATTGTTTCCAAAATATTTGTGATAATAAAAGTTGAATTGTTCAAGTTTCAGAAGACTCTTCTACGGCTTGTGGTTCAGACAACATTACTGTCACAGTCTTACAAAACTGCTCTTCAAAATTCTCTTTAATTTTCTCTAAACTACTCTAAGACTTTCTCTAAACCATGATTGCCTTTAGATTACTTATTTGGAGCAAACACTGACAACATGTGCACTTGCTATTCTTTTTTTGTCACATCAGCTTCTTCTCTGTGCTTCTAATTTGATCCTCTATAAATTTGAAATTTATTCTTGCGACTTTTACAGTTTTGGCAAATAATTTATGACTGGCAAATAATTTGTCTTTGACTCTGACTTTGCTTGACTATGAATTTGGTTGACTATGACTTTGAATTGTCTCTAACTTTAGCAAACAACTTGTCTGTCAACACTCAAATTAGGTCTTTAAAAAAGATCTAATTTGAGTGCTGACAAACAATTTATTTTAATTATTTAATTTGTCTGTTATAACTCAAATTAAATTTGAGTTATAACAGACAAAATCAACTGAAAGTTTGTAATCTTATATTATTATAATTTATCATACCTTTTATAAAGATTAAAATATCATTTAAAATTTTGTATATTTTTCTAAAGGCTCCTATTCTAAAACAAAAATGAAAGACAGAAAGTTTAATTACCCATAAACAACAATAAGTAAACCGAACTAACCCATATATATAAAAGAAAATCCAAAAAGTTCACAAAATATAGACATTTTATTTTGAATCTAAAAAATTTTAGTAGGTACTACTTGTAAATATATATATATATATATATATATATATATATATATATATATATATATATATATATATATATATATATATATATATATATATATATATATATATATAAATATATATATATATATATATATATATATATATATATATATATATATATATATATATATATATATATATATATATATATATATATAAATATATATATATATAAATTATGACTAGAAATTTTTTTATTTGATGGTTTTTTTGTTTTTGTTTTTATATTATTTTATAATTCTTTTAAAACATGCGAGGACATTTCTACATTGATTGATAAGTAGGTTTAATATGCAAGAAGTGTTGCTTTTTTATTGTAAATATGTGCGGTGTTTTGCTACTGCTACAAAGAGGTGCTGTTATCTTATAGCTTATTGTTACAAGGAATTGGAGTTAAAAATTGATGTTTTTTTGATAAATTATTTAAACGGATATTTTAGCAATCTAATTAAAAAAGTTTTTCTCGCTTTCTTGTGCATGGATAAAAACCAAAAAAAAGTTACCCAAAGACATTAGAAATATATATATATATATATATATATATATATATATATATATATATATATATATATATATATATATATATATATATATGTATATATATATATATATATATATATATATATATATATATATATATATTCATAGAGCAAATAATTAAGTAATTTCTTAATATACTGACCGAAAAAAAATTGTGATTAAACTGTATATCAAAAAATGTTTTCGTTTTTGTTATATATTTATATGCTTTTTTCCTCGACTAGTATCAATTTGGTAGTGGAAAATAAAATACGTTGAAAAAAAAAAAAACAGTACAATAACTAGGTATATTATTTTTGTGACAAAATTTTTCGTTTTTTAATTTTCAATTTTTTTCTGTTTATTTTATTAAGATTTTGTGTTTTGTATAGTATTCGTTTCCTTTAATCGTGTTTTGCTGTTTTATTATCTGCTGTTTTCTATGACTTATTCTGTCGCAAATTCTTAAAACGCTTATTATATAAAAAAGTTGTCTTAAATAGTTAATCTATATGTCGACAACAAGGTGGGCGACCGCACGCACTTCCTGGTAATGTTTTCACATACAACTTCTATTTAACATACTTAAATAAATCTTTTAATTACCTTTGCAGATGTATTTAAGGACACGGTCGCAAGGTAAGTCATTCCAGCCATTGTAATAAGTTTCCACACAATCTTCATCCGGGGTGTATCTATTAGGTTCATTAGGGAGCCACTTTTTATACGTCAAAGGTGATTGATCAGACCATGCAAAAGTTGAATTATTTTGGATAGCGTTAAGTCCTTTAACAACAACAACAAAAAGATAATCTGCCTAATTTAACCAATATTGAATAAAACCTAAATAAATTAAAAATTGACTTTGTTTAAGCTCTTATCATTTTTAGGGCCGTTCCGAGGAGGTGGAGCAATGGGTTTCTGATCCCCTACAAATTTTATTAGTCGGCAAATTGGACACTCTAGTTGGAAAAATTGGGTTTATTGTTAGAAGTTGGCAAATTTTGGCTAAAAAGGTACTTTTTTTTTTTTAAGAAAAAAAATTTTGGCAAAAAAAATTTTTTTTGGAGTAGTCGGCTAAAAACAAATACATCATTCCCCATTAAAATCTCTTCGGGACGGTCCTGATCATTTCTAACATTATTTGCTTGAACCTAAACTTCCATTAATATAAGTATTGGAGAACTCGCTGTATTAAGTTTGATGTCATCATTACTATTTTTTATGCATTTAATCATTTTTATCTTTATTGATATCAATATAGGGGACATAGAGTAAAGTGAGACAAAATTTTTGATTGTGTGCTGCGCTTTATATTTTTCATAAAAACCATACAAATTCGGTTAAAATTATAGTATAGTGAATTGAAATTTATTGTAAAACCCATTACCTAACCATTAAATTAAATTTAATGCATTGGTTAATTAATGTGATACAGTTTGTCCCATGTCTCCCCGCGTCGGGGTGAAATGGGATAACGATAGGGTGAAATGGAATAAGTCAGAAATAAATAATTTTGAGCATTATTTTTTTCTTTTTATTCTTCCTAATGTGTAACATACCAATACAGAAAATATGTTTATGTTTAAGCAAATATAGATATCACTCAAAAAAGTTGCTTTTTATTTAAATTCAAAGTCAAAAGTATGTTGATGTCTCTGCAGGTAACTTTTTTGCTTTTTTTTATTTTCATCTTCCTTTTTTCTTTTACATCCTGATAAATTTTCAGCTATTTTATTTCTTGTTGGTCAATAACAATACCTTTTGGAAACGGCCTAATTTCTTCTGCTGTCCAACGGTAGGCAGAAGTGTTGGTTTGCTGTTTCTTGTTATTAATAACTTCAGATGCAATTATTTGTAATGATTGTGTTTGCCAAATAAGATATATTATTTAAATTGTAAGACTTTGTTGCAGAATCTGTCTTATTGGTTGGTAGCTTCAGGCATACAAATAGATAATTTTGTACAATTTAAGAAAAAGATATAACCATTCAGTTCAAGCTGTTTCAATCTTTTTCCAGTTTTTTGGTATTTAAATGTTCCTTTTTGTTGCATATTGATATGCAAGGTGCTTTGTTTCTCTAACATTAAATCCATAATGCATATTAGATGATAGAGGAAGATATATTAAAAGTTCATTTTCTTGTAATTTATTTTTATGTTGTTCATCAAAATATAAGTTGTTATAAGTTTTGGTTTTAAACGTTAAGCTTCCAGATTCGAGTGCCACCACAGCAGCTTCCATTGTATGAGCATCAGGCTTTAACAAATTTTTCACTAGTTTGTCCTTTTCTGACATCTGAAAAAATATTAATCTCCATTATGAAAAAAAATTTGTTTATTTTAATTGAAAAAAATCAAAGTTCAGATCAAGATTAAGATCAATGAAAATAAAATAGCACCACAATGAAACTTATAAAATAAAATAGCACCACAATGAAACTTATAAAAAAAAATAGCACCACAATGAAACTTGTAAAATAAAATAGCACCACAATGAAACGTATAATGAGATTAAATTGAAAAAGTTGCATATTAACTGTTATGGAAAATATCTTAGCTAAATAAAAAATATGCTAAAAAAATATTTGTCATTATAAAAATACTTACTGTGAAATATGTCTTTTATATGCATTAAATATGTCTCGGTTTATGTCTCGGAAATATCTTTTTTATAATCTCGGTTAAACTTCAAGACAAAAAATATTATTTAATAAATTTTTTTTTCTATGCAAAAAAAAAAGTAGCATAAAGTAAAGTGCAGTATATTTAATTACAGTATATTCAAAAGTGATAAAGTTTAACAGTTCCAATTTTTACTCTAAGTCTGCTGTCCCAAATTACCCCATCACTAGCAGGGATAAAAAAATCTTTATTTTGTATAGTTTTCTCAACTAATTGACAATAATTTTTTTTTCAGTAATTATATTAGATTAGTGATTAATTAAAACTTATGAAAATAAATATATATGTTAACAACAAATGAACATTTAGTAATACAAATTTCATGGGTACCCGTTTTAAAAAACCTTTGACAATTAAATAATAAATAATAATTATTTTGAGAAGTGAGATGAAGCCGGGGAAGGAAAATAAATATTAGATAAATCAAGCATACCTAATGAGTGTTTATAAGTAAAAAAAGAATTAAAATGGAAAATATAACAGACTTAGTATAAATGCTAAAAATAAAAAATTCTAAGTTAAAAAATTTTCTTTTATACTTTTTTATAAACTATATTACTCTCGAGTGCCTAATATATGGAAGGGGGATTATTTATTATTTTTTGGAAAATTTTTCCACCCACCCTAAACTTATTAAGGACCCCTACCCCCTACCTACCTCCAGTTTAATAATTTTTAATTGTTGTCAGCAAAAACTTTATCTCAAAACTAAAAAAAAAATCTGTGAAAATTAGCCTTAACAATTAGAAAATAATTCTTTCAGTCATCGATAAAAACAAATACTGTGAACAGTGTAAATTTTCAAGTTTCATTGTAAAAAGGCTTTAAAAATCGCCGATCTTGGGTCAATGTTTTAAAAATTTTTAACGGTTTAAAATGCAACCGGCGGTAAATTTTATCGGCGTAAAAGATTTTTTTCAATACTGTAAAACTTTTTTAAAAATTATTGACGATAATTTTCTATAGCCGAAACGTTTACAGTTGATAATTGTTCGGGAGGAGCGACCTACGGAAATTTTTGTTGAAGATCCAAAGATATGTTTTAAGATATTTAATATAAAATATTTAGTTGTAGAAACTTGTGGTTCAGAACTTTTCAAAATACTTACCTTAAGTTAAAAATTTATTACAAATTCATTAATTTAATTAAGTGCACATTTCTTAATAAATTTTAATTTCAAGCGATTTCATTGTTAATATTTTTCTACTGAGTTTGTCATGTAAAAAATGTAACTCATTTTCAAAATTTTAAGTTGCTCTCTAACTATTTCATAGAAAAATTTTGCTTATAGATCTTATACTTTCATTCAACCTATTACTTATTATCTTAATTCAGAGCTTCTATTTATCTTTTTTTTTTTCTTTTTCTTTTTTTCTTTTCTGTTTTTTTTTTTTTTTTTTTTTTTTATTTTGGTTTTTTTTTTTAAATTTATTAAATTTAGCTAAAGATATAAAAACACAACAAAAAAGAGAAAAAAATTAAATAAATAGAAGCTCAGAGTTAATAATAAAAATTGTGAGCAATATTTTTCTAAAAAATAGTTAAAGTTAAAAAAAATAAATGATGTATTATAAATTATTTTATTCTTTCTTAAACTGAAGTATGTTCTCCACATTACTATTATTGTTATTGCTATTATTAATCTACTTTTATCATTATAAATATTATTACTTTTACTTTTGATAATATTTTTAAAAATTTTTTTTTTATATTACTGTTTTTATTATGATTGTTGCTGTTATTAATGCTTTTACTATTGTGTTGTTATTTTTACTGTTATAATTGTTATTATTATTATTAATATAGTATAGTGTATACTTTTTATAATCTTTACTATTACTTTTAAGCACTATTATTACAATTATTATTTTTACTTACTCCTACTTGTATTATAATTATTTTAAGCATCTATTTATTATTATTGAGTTTTACAAGTGATTACTTCATATCAGTACTTATTACTATTTGTAAACAACCTTAATGTACAGCTTGATTCAGAATATATTTGATTTGATTTAATTTGATAGCTGAAAAATTTGAAACTTAGTGAAAAATAATGAGGCAAAAGCAACGATATATATATATATATATATATATATATATATATATATATATATATATATATATATATATATATATTTAAATTACGTTATTGCATTCTACAAATAGTGTTCTTAAAGAATAGAGCAATAATAAATTAGTAAAAACACTTATCTAATTTTTATCTTTAAGAGCTTGTTTTTCTATCAGTAGGTTCGTCGGGAAGCCTGATAAACTAATGAACCTACTGATAAATCTTCCTCATGAACGTACTGATGGAGAAACACGTTGTTGAAGAAATAAACGAGAAATGTTTTTGCTAATATATATAAAAATGTGTATATATATATATATATATATATATATATATATATATATATATATATATATATATATATATATATATATATATTATATATATATATATATATATATATATGTATATATATATATATATATATATATAAATATATATATATATATATATATATATATATATATATATATATATATATATATATATATATATATATATATATATATATATATATAAACATAAAACATAAAACATAAGTTTTCTTGAATAAAAGTAATAGACAAATTTAAATAGTAAAACAAGTGGGCAAACTATAAACGGAATTATTAAAATTCTATAAATTACCATTGATTCTCAATATGGTATGAGCTCAAATATTTTTGATAAAATCAGATAACAAAAAACATCAAAGATTTTTCTTCTTATTCAGAAAGTGTTCAGAAACCATGTGCGAATTGTTTCCAAAGTTTCTCATATTGTCTATGGTTTGGATGCACGTCAAAACTTATTGTGGATAAAATTGTAATCAGAAAGCATTAAAAGATTTATCGTTTAAATGTTTATCTTTGTCTAAATAATGTTTTGTTATAAAAATTTACATAATTAGTTTCTGAATAATTCTTTTAATAAATATATATTTAAAGTCATTTCTTTAAAAAGTATATTTATACAATATTTTTTTTTTTTTTTTTCAATAACAAGTATACAATACGTGTAAAATTTTTCTATATTTAAATCAAAACA